TTCATCAAAACTTCATTTATTTCACATAAATGATATTTTCATCATATTTATAGTTTCTGATTTTCATTTTATTATTTTTTGAATTATAATTATAACAATATTCAATTATATGAATTTAAATAATACTTTATTTATCATTTCTAATTCTTCCATTTTATTGTTTATTAATCTTATTTCATTATGTTATTAGAAATATAATACTTTTTCCATTTAATACAACAATATTGAAATATCATTTTCTTTTCAATATTTCAAATCCCATTTTATAATTTATTTAATTCTATTGAAAATGAAATTATTGTTTGAATTAATACAACATTCTATCTCTCATTTATTTATTCATTGAAAATATTCAATTATAATTCAATTATTTCTATCATCTTTTCATTTATGTCATATTGTTTTTTGTGTTATTGATTTTGGATTATCATTTATATTAATTATATTCTTCTTCAAAATAAAATTACCATTGAATTTTTACATTCACTTATTCTTCAAATCATTGTTAATTTGAATTGTATAATATTTTCACTATTCATTCGTTGTTTTTATTTATCAAACGGTTAAATAATACCTTCCAATGAAATATTATAAACCAACATTTCAATTGACTGTTGTTAAAAATAAATAAATCTTTTGAATTAAACACTTTCATTCATCTAAAATCATTCTATATGAATATTTATTTGATAAATTATACAATAAAGAAATATGAAATGTTTGATGAAATAAAATAATTGAAATAAACAAAATACAGTGATAATCAATTAATGAATAGAAAATAATAAAATATAAATATTCTTATTTAATTTAATCAAATAATGAATATAAACAACTTATTTATTAATTGTTATTGCACTGTTAATTTAATTTGTATGTTCATTCGATGTTTTATATTAAAAATAATAATTAATCAAATAATAATTCCATTTATTTTATATTCATTAATATGAATAATATTCGTTTGGAAATATAAAGTAGTAGTATATTATGATATTTAGATAGAATGAATATCAAATAATTTACAAATATTACAGAATCATGATAAATAATAAAATTATAAATATATTTCATCGATGTAATTTATGATAATATTAACATTAAATGAATATTCTATTCAAATATGATAATATACTTTTATTGATATCCTATCATTTTATTAATTTTTATTTCAATCAATATAACTATTAATGATAATTCATTCATTTATATTCATTATAAAATATGTTAATCAATTTTATTGAATAATTATTACAATAAATAATAAATAAAGAGAAAAGAAATGATTTAAATGAAATATAATGAAATTAGTAAATTGAATAATAGTATTTATTAATCGGATCTTTAAAATAATAGCTGTTTCATGTTTAATGAATGAAAATAATTGAATTGAAAATGAAAAATATCAATAACTTGAAAATATCAAATAACAAAATAAAGTGAATAAATTAAATATAAAAAAGGATTATTCATTTAATAAAATAATTAAAATTATTGATTGTTTCATCTTAATTCCATCTTCACATTACTTTCACTACATTTCTTTTTTATCAATGAGGCATTTATAATTTTGTTTATTTAAAAAAACAATACAAAAGAAAAAATAAAATTTAAAAGAACAAGCACCACCTTTGAATCAAATACAAATATTCTTCTTAGTAAAGTGAAATCCTTTCATTAACACCTTAAGTGATTGTTATTTCATATCACCTCTTATTATTATACTTCTTCTCATTTCTAATGAATTATTTAATTGAATATAAATTGACTATGTCTAAAATAAATATAGTTAATTCTTAAGTAAATTGAAACTGTATACTCTTTTCTTCGTTCTAAGAAAAGTCATTTATTCAATTTCTTCATTTATATCAATCATATTGTTATTTAGTTTTTTACACTTGCTTTATATTACAATAATTCATGAGAATATAATATAATTCTTACTATGTTAAATTGTTATTAAAGTTAAAGTTTAGTAGATGAACTAAAATCAATTTTGATTATAAATTCATGATATTAACCACAGTATTTGTATAACACCCCAGAAGAAACATGAAAATTAAATTATTGAAAAAAAGATAAAAAGAACTTAAAAATAAAGATTTTCAATAAGAAGATGAGTGGATTAAAAGAAACACAAATAGATGATGTACCTTTTGTTAATGAAGTTGAGGATAAGAAAAATTGGGAAGAAAAGGTAATGACAAATCATCCAGAAGTTTTACAGTTAGCTGAAGAGACAAGATTTTTAGAAGGACTTAAAGACAATTGGCAAAATACTCAATTAAAAGAATATTCTCTTCCTTCATTTGCTCGTAATTTATCAGAAAATAAAGTGGTTAATCCTGACACTTTACCTGAAGAAGAAGTTATTGCATTAATTTGTCAATATTTAAAAGAACAAAAATTACAAGAAACAAGAATTGCTTTAGTAAAAGAAGTTTTATCAAAACATCCCCAATATCAATTACTTCATCCTGACTCACCTCAATTTGTAAATTATACATCTGATCCATCATTAAAAGATGCTCTTGAAGGAATGGTTAAATTAGGATTGACTGATGCTGATAATTTGTTTGAAAAATTACCATTTGAAGAAGAAGATTTTGCTAAATTACCAGACGAAGAATATGACCAACATATTTCTTTCCATACATCTACTGACACTGACATTCCTATTACTGATGAAAATATTGTTCCTAATAATAATTGTGAAATTATTTTAGAAAAATGTAGTGAATATCCTGATGGCATTGAAATACCTGCAGCGATGTCAACAAATCAATTAATTTTATTTACAATGACTAGTACTGATGTTTACTTAAATAAATTCTTAACAGTATATCGTGATTTTATTACACCTATTGAACTATTAAACAAATTTATTCAAATCAAAGACCAAAATATTGAAAAAT